ATATTAATTTGGAAATTTTAAGCATTTACACTTGTTTTTCAAGTACCGTAAGTACCATTAAACAGATTTCAATAAAACTTTGCAAATTGGTAGTCTGGAACAATGCACATATGGTTGCAACATGTGCATGGTAATTACCTAATTTGCATATTAGCAATTCCATAAGTTTCATAAGAATGAAACTTGGTTTGTGGGTGCTATAGTATATCCCATAGTACATGTTTGGTTTAGGTTTAAATTTACTAATTACCTTATTTGCATAAATAAACAATTGATATATTGGCTACCACTCATCATATTTTAATAAAACTTATTAAGTAAGAGATACGACTAGTATGTCACATGACTATATGGTCATGTGACCTAAATATCATGCATATTGATGTCAGACTGAACTTGTCATTTAATTTCGTTAGGGTAGATTTGATTCTCAAATGTCAAGCCAAAGTCACAGCTGCTGTTATAAATGCAAACAAGATATGTATGAATGGTACAATCAAATCAACATAAACAAAGATGAAACATTACCCATATTACCGAACAACTTTAGTATGCTAAAATTCAAATGTTGCCGTGTAGATTTTTCTCGTTTTCGAGTATATTAACTTCAAGTTGTCATTTTGATTGTGTAAGAAATTGCCCCTGTATGTTCCAAAAACGACGTCTAAAAAACAGACATAGCCTCACAGTGACACTAAACATTGTGAAGAAACACTAACCACTTACCACAAAAAATAGTCATTCATACCTTACGGCGTATTCTTTGCAATCATGTTGTATTTTTTGACAGAAAGTATAACAGTAGTCGTGCTATTTTTTATTGTATTTATTTAATTATTTATTTATTTATTGACTTACAAAATCAAGAAAAAAATGGAAAACAATATGCTAAATAACAAAATACAGTCACTAAATTACTAAATAGTACAAAATCACTAAAGTACTGTGACAGAACCCCGAGATACGGCTTCGCTCGTGAAAGTACGGCCGCAGGATACACCGCATCACTCGTGAAAATAACTTCCACACGCAACGAAAATCACGGGGATGGTGTAGGGTTCTGTCATAATATGAGATTACTAAAATAATCATTTTACTCATTTATTACATCTGCTTATTTAAAAAAACACACACACACTGCACAAAAAAAATGTTTTCGAAAATGTCAGGTCAGATGCTTCCTACAATTACTAGTATATAGGTTTGATTATTGATCTGATTACTGCTGTCATCGTATTGACAGAAAACGTGTACATGATGTTTGTTATTCAATGATTCTGAATCGAAAATCATATTACATGTACTATGATCGTAGTCCTATCGAATAGTGAATACATATTAGTAAAGTAAACATAAATATACTGCAGTGAGTGTTTGCAAGATGATTTACCCATGAGAGTTGAGACCTAGAAACTACGTAGTCCATAGTAATTGATAGAAATGTTCCACCTGTCATGGCTGTCCACACAGAAGGCTCAGCAACCCTGTTATCTGACTTAGACCTTGTAATTCCCGGAGGATTGAAGTCGTCCCCCATTACATTACTGAAGAGTCAGCAGCTTGGTTGCTAGGTTACTGCAATATTTTTTCATCAGGTATGATGAACAGCAGTGACCTAATATATGCATTTTAGCCCCAGTTGCAGCATGGGAGGTAGAAGAACCTAGTACATTCCACGGTTACAGCTATAATTCGTTATTGCGAACCATCAGTCAATTTGAGTAAAACACATTATAGCCATTACACCAGTTTAAATGATAAAGACTGTTATTTTTCGCATTAATGCATTTTATCATACTGAATCGCATAATATAATGCATCGCATTATAACGCTTTCTAGAAGATCTGTCACATTTAACCCTACACATACATTACGCGCATAACAGATTTACTTGTGTTTCATTTTAGCATTTGACTTGGTCCAGTAGGCTTGCATTTTCGTATTTTAGTGTAGAATCTCATGTTAAAATGCACTGTATAATAGCAAATTTCCGAAAATCTGTCACATTTAAACTTACGAAATCTATAATGGGCGCATGATAAGATTACTTGTCGCATTTTATGGAATGGAGTGTGCCTACGCCAATTTAACCATCGCAGTTATGTGAAAGGGCGGTGATCGTCACATCGCATCTTGTTCGATAGGGGACTAACAGCGACGTACACAACTAATTTGGTCCAGGAGGCTTGAATTTTTTGCGGTATTGCATTTTATGTAGATTCTCAAGTTAAAATGCATCTTATAATAGCATATCATAGAATATCTATTGCATCTAAACTTACAAAAGCCAGTATAATACGTCTATGATAGAATTACATGACGCATGTTGTTTGAAATTCGAACAGGTGCTACGCGACGCGAAATGAGAAAGTAAAAACGTCAAATATTTCGTGAGTTTTCAGTCCGTTGGCGATCGTGTTAGTTTCCCATTCGATTGTTTGATTGAATTACATTTGCTTATTCTGGATTGCAAACTTGAGGGGTATGATTATTATCTCCGATCACGGGTCATTACTATTTTTGTCGGTTAAATTGACTTATATATATCACTTTTATATTAATGTGGCGATGATAAAACATTGTAATAGAGAGTTTTAAGTCTCAAACGGCGCCACTATAGCGATGTATAAACAGGGACATTGCGTACAAGACGGAAGTTAAGTCATTGTTTGCACATGAGATTAAGGTGTGGACAATATCTGAAAGAAAAAAAAAGAAAAAAAATCCACGAGTGAGCCGTTTATGGGAGCTCTATAAGTCTATATTACAAATACTTCTACAAACCCTGTGGCAATATATTGAATAAACAAAGTGTGTGTTGGATTTGTTATCAGAGTCGAGATTAGCTGTGGAATCATAGCCCTATGTTGCCGACCGCATTATTTACGTGACTGACTCTGGCCGGCCCATATGTTCGACGTACAACAACAAAATTTAAAAAAAAGACGTCCAAATGAAATTGTTAGGGCGAAATTCGATTGTAGGTCGCACCAAAGAGCTACGGAACCGCAGCTAAGTCGAGATTATTTCAACAAACGTACTGTTGATGTCAATGTTTAGTCTTTCTAGTCAGCGATTGTTGCAATCAGGAGGGTAGGGAGGTATATTCTTTCATGTTTCTGGTTACACTTAAAATGAAAAACAGAAGGTATTAGCTCTTCCTGTGAGAACCAAGATAATACCCTGTAGCAAACGTGTTGTTGGTCGAGCGCCCTCGGCGTTATGTTAACATTTCCCCCTGTTTTTGAGTAAAGAATACACAAACAAATGTAACTTCCTGACCGCGTGTGTTCCCAGCTGATTGTGACATAAATATTGATCAAATACAATCCCTTGAAAGCAGCTAAAATGGGTCGTTTGAAACGAAAGAAATACCACAAAGGCAACACTTACGTGCAGAAAATGTTCAGGACGAGGCGAAAGACGAAGGATATCGACCAAATTCACGAAGACATGAAACCAGAAAAAGCTGATAAGTTGCTAAACCAAGAAGTCGATCACGATCTTCCAGGCGCCGGACAAAATTACTGTCTTCACTGCGCGTAAGTATATAATCACTGTGCACATGTGTTGCCCCCTTCCTTGTGATTATAATGTCACCATCAAGTAATATGCAGGATTTTATTAATAAATTTAGTGATGTTTTCGTCTTGCCCCTTGTTTTTGAGCATTGTTGTGTAGACTTGAAGTTTATTTGAGTTACTAAATATGGATGTACTAAACAACAACAACAACAACCTAGTTTGCTCGAAATCAATTTTAATTGAACATCGAGTTACAATTTGGTAGTGGTTTGGCAAAAGTTGGCGTGGTTTCCAAAAACATGGGCGTGGTCATTTTTGTAACTCGGTGTTCAATTTTGAGCAATTCAGCAACTTGACTCTAAAAAATGGTCAATGCTTATACAAATACATTTATGTAGCTTTCTAGACACCCGTCCTTACCGGGGAGAAAGAAAAGTGAAGAGAATCGGTTTGCTGTCTTGCATTTTCTGATTTGGGTTTTAAGGCAGTGGTCGTCACGCAACACATGTTCGAATTTCATGTAAATAAACAAAGTATTTTACACACGTTGTATATGTTGTTATGAGTCCTATATCGAACAGGAAGCGGTGTAACAACCACCATCTTTTGACTTAGTACCATTCTTGTCCGCCCAGGGTATTTGGCTCCGAAAATCGTGTGCTTTTGAGGGGCCCCGTGAGCACTTAGCTGACCACCCCCATTGCAATATACTCATTATGATCCATCAATTCGGTGGTTTCTATGAAATGCAAATAAAGTTCAACTTTCATCGTAAGGAAATGTTTTTAGGTGACAGTGACTACGAACAAACTAAATTGGACTCTAATTCAGGTGCCACGAAAGGTTGATATATTTGCAAAATGATACCTGAATTATATTATTTATGGTAACACAACAAAAGAGAAGTCAGTGCATGCAAAACCAAAAATAACACTGAATTGGTAATTATATTTTGTTCCCAGGAAACATTTTATTGATTTACAAGCAATGACAAGTCACTTCAAAAGTAGAAATCATAAAAGAAGGTAAGATTTATTACATGCTTTGGATGTGTTTCAAATTTTTGTTGTTGCTATGTTACTCATTGTGTGCTAGTGATGGTCATGTGACAAAAAAGTAGTCTGGTATCCTTTTTATACAGTCAAGTATATCTTGGCTTATTTCTTTCCAGCTTCTTTCCAACAAAATGAACTTTGTCAGGTTTTGTTACGAAAATGTGTCACTGTCATAATATTAGATGGTTTTGTATATGTATATGGTAAAATTACCAAACAACAATAGAAAAAAACAGAAAAATGGGGAAAAGTTGCCAGTCTGTTTGGTGTACAAACAAACCTTGCTATCAAATTTTAAATTGTCATCTATGTGGTGAATTAGTAGAGCATAGACCAGTAGGTTACAAAAAAAATTTGATGCATCTTGTTTGCAAACTAAGGCTTATAAAAGAGACAGGAGTTAACAGGATTTCTTTTGGTGATAGATTTATTTAGAACAATATGCAATAGTATGCAGTTAATGCCGTAACCAAAATAGTTTGTTGTATTTGATTTCAGCTTGTTTACAAAAAAAAGACTGAGAGTGTGATATGGTTATACATATGCACGTCAATTTTTTCATTTAGTTGACCAACTGATGGCTTTTTTGTCATCAAAAATCAACATTTGGACATTTCTGCCTTGACTGATTTTATTCAAACTTGGTATTGACATGACTCATGATTAGTTATTGTTGTACATCATTTAGTTTCATGACTGGTGGCATGTTGTTTTCTGGCGGCCATATTGTTTTTTGTTCCAGCTGTTCATATGTTTTGTATAATTTACTTTCAGATTAAGGGCTTTAACAGAGGAACCTTACTCCCAAAAAGAAGCAGATGCAGCGGCTGGAATGGGAAGTTACTACGCACCGCAAAAACTAAAAAAAGTAAAAACGCAGCCAATAGTCAAGAAAGATATGGACACTACAGAAGATTAACAAAAGCCTTAATGACATTCTTTATATAATATTAAATGATTAGTACATTATTATTATATGACGGAACCTCACACCCTCCCTATGGCTTTCGTTGCGTATGGAAGTTATTTTCACGAGTGATGCGATGTAGCCTGTGGCCATATCTTCACGAGCGAAGCAGAATACACTGCATCTTGAGTGAAAATAACTTCCATACCCAACTAAATCCACGGGGAGGGTGTGGGGTTCTGTTATTATTACATATTTTCCATATTTGATATTTCATATTAAAGAAAGAACGTGCAATAAACCGGGATGGAATTTAGGCCGGGGAACCCCATTGCCCATTAATATGTTCCCAGAAAGTGTTGCGCCATAGCAATGCGTGTCAGTGTAGAACACGTGTCACTGTTTGTGTGGAAATAAAATAATCATACTTCTAATCTGAATCACTGTCCGAATAAATTACTCTTATAATTATTAATTGGAGCCACGACAGACCAGAACTTAAACTGGACGACTATGATACACAGTTTATGTTGAAGTTAAAAGTTCTTCCACAGAATTGTGCATTGGCAAATATGCGGTGCAACTGCGGTACTCCACTGACGGGATGACCTTCGTCGACAGCGGTCGTCACTGAGCTGCACGCTACAACTTAGTTTGTGATGTTGCTTGCTGGTCGTGGATTGAATGTGTCTTGGCTACCGGTTAAAATGTTACTCATTCGGTGTTAATAATCTTTATTTGGGACTGAGCCAGCAGAAACCTCCTGGTATCTTAATGTTGTGGCTCCATACTAATTGCTGATTTTACTGCGGGTGGATCTTTCGCGAGCCCTTCGAAGTTTATAAAACTCAGTTTCCAGGTGGTCAACAAACCTTAAGTTCTCCCAATCGTAGTATTCCATGTGATGTACACCTGACATGCCAAAATGCTGCTGAATGATTTGAACCGAACAAAAATGGCAGACACGAATGTGTTTACAAAATAAAAATAGTTCGGTAGCCAATGGAAATACCATGTTCATATGCATATAGACTGTGAAAATACCGAAAACATTATTGCATGTGTGATATGCAAATTAGTTTTAATCAAAATAAGTGACTGCCTAAAAGTACCATTACTGTTGTTCATATTTCATTTCACTCGGCAAGTATATTCATGTACCCCAAGGGAAAAATACTTCTAAATATTGTTTATTTCATTTGTTTCGATAAACGGTACTCCTGAAGGAACTACTTTGTTTGCTCTCAGACATTTGCATATTGGTTGCGGAAATACCGATTTTTATTTCAGGGACGAATCAAAATAAACTGCAGTAAATGTGTAATAATTATTATTATTAAGATTTACATGTAATTCAGACAACATGGTTATATGAGAAAACAAAGGTGATAACAATAAATATTGAGTAAAACATTAAGGTAATGAACAATAAATATTGAGTAAAACATTAAGGTAATGAACAATAAATATTGAGTAAAACATTAAGGTAATGAACAATACCAACAAACATATTAGTTAGTCCTAGGGACTTATGCCCTTATAGATTGACCTCTATGCGTGCCTTTATCTTAGAAATGCCTTGATTGATTACATTTATACTTCATACATAATATTATGCATAATTGCATATTAATCAAAAGACGAACCAGAAATCGGTTGTTTACAAATGGATTTCGTGCAAACTTGGTACATACATTGGACATTATGGGTCCTCATCCGTTTCAACGCATGACCTCCCCCCCCCCCCTCACCATCCCCAATATGTCGCGTTTTTTGCTTTGATCCCGACCCGACACCCGCGATTTAGCGAGTGGTCACTGTATCACTAATGTGTTGCAATAAAACAGAATATAAATTTCAATATAAAATTTTCCATCGGCGACAATGATAGGTGTATTTCACGGTTAGTGTTTTGTAGTAATCTGAAAAACGCGTTTCACAACTTGTCTCTTATTTAGTTTTATGCTGCATTCAAGATGGTGGCCCTCATATAGTAAATATCACTGACGATTTTTTTAAAAAAAATGAGAATTTATTGATTTTCAGCCCCCAAGTGACTGTGGAGATATACCGTGTTTTAACGAGTGTATCAGTTTGATTTAGCTGTGGGTCCATTGCTCTTTTGTGTTGGCTATTAGTCTTTGTGGTGGTTTTTTAGTTGGTGTCATCAAATTTGTTTTTCAGACATTAGGATTTTTATCGACACAGAAGAGCTATGCTTCCTATAAACTAGCCTAACACAAATGTGCGTCGCCAACACAACATTAGACTGACAAAGGCAGGACTTTTTTTTTTGTTTTACAAAAAGAAATAATTAATTGTTATTTTATTCCTTTAGCGTGATCGTGAAAACTAACCTGACCCCTAAAGAAATCCCTAAAAGATTTCTTTCGCAGTCACGCTAGTTTTCGCGACCACGTTAAAAAAAGCTAAATTGACAATTAATTATATTTTTTTTGTGAATCAAAAAAGAAGTCTTAACTTTGCCAGTCTAACACAACATCTACCGTCACCTATTTATATTACATGCAGTGGACGGTTGGGCGTTATGTTTGCTCAAATGTATTTGTTTATCATAATTGTTACCTCCATGACTCAACCATGACTCAACTAACCAAAACATAACCGTTTACAAAGCCTGTCGCCGACACTGGAATGCGTTTCGATCTGACTAATTTCACGCAATTGTGATGTTTGTTGTATTATTAAATGATTATAGTATTCGCATCATGGAATGATTGACCCTTTGGTGTTTTCCTGTTTATTCTTCCAAACAGTCAGCTGAGGCATGGCTGAGGTAACCCCTCGCTTTACAGTTCACTTGTACTTCACCCTCTCTTCTACAAAAAGATACAAATTCTTTATCAGGTGTCTAAGGCATGGCAGAGTAAACATTTGATCAGCCAATCGCTGCAGTCGTTGGCACGGTCATGTGATTACCAGGGATGTGTCTCACTATTAAAGCCTTGCGAAGTTGCCATTACTAAATACAATATGTAAACATTTATTTATCGGCTTAGTCTTTTCCACGAAACGAAACGAAACCCAAACCCTAACCCTAACTCGCATTTTTTTTTTTCATTTGCCCAATAATATCTGAGAAAATTTCACACTGTGAAATACGGACGTGACGATGTTTGAGGTCGTTCAAAATCTAAGGTTAGGGTTAGGGTTTTGTTTTGTTTCGTTTCGTTTTATTTTGTTTCATTTCGTTTCGTGGAAAAGACTAAGCCTTATTTATCAAATTCCTGATTATACATGCAATAATAATTAACTTTATTGATATCGTATCCTTTATAAGATCTTGAGAGTTAAATTACAATAAAGTGTGGATGAATGAAAAAACAAGAAAGACAATTTAGATAAAATATCATAAAAATGATAACAGGAAAAAAAAAACCTTGCAGATATGCCTTGATATTAATATTGTTTATTTGGATGAGAATGAAGGCTTTTTCATGTTATTTTCTCTAATTTTGAAACATTCGTATATGTATTTAGCTAGTTTTATAATTGTTTTATTTTCATTGTTCATCATAGCTAGCATTGTTTCTTCATCTGTCGTGTTTGGGAGTGACATTTTTGACTTAGTGTTTAGTTGGTTTCTTTCATTTTCGTATAATTTGCAGTTAAGCAGAAAATGTTTTTCATCTTCAATTTCGTCTAGGTCACACACAGGGCATTTCCTTTTGCATGCATCTATTTTATTGTAGCGACCCATTTCTATTTGTAGAACATGAGCACCTAATTTGCATAATGATTAATCAATTTTCGGCTTTTCCACTGATATCTCAAGTACTAATCATCACATTTCAATAAAACTTGGTACATAGATGTCATAGGACACTGCACAAACCTGATAGTTTTTAGAGTAATATCAGTATATATTAATTAGATAATTTGCATAATTAATTAATTTTCAGCTTTTGATATTTCAAGTAGTAATCATCACATTTCAATGAAATTTGGTACATAGATGTCATAGGACACTGCACAGACCTGATAGTTTTTAGGGTAATATCAGTATATATTAATTAGCTAATTTGCATAATTAATTAATTTTCAGCTTTTGATATTTCAAGTAGTAATCATCACATTTCAATGACACT